AGGCTGGTCCTCATCCTCACAGCCTACACAACAGCTCAGAGCAATTTTCTTTGTAACTTTAATCCCGATCCTGAATGTAGTGCTTATTTTCAGACTTCAGGACAGAGTCCTCTTTCTCCCACATTCAGAACACCTTTGTATTTGTTTCTTAAGTATTAATTCTAACTTCTAGCATATTTAGCAAACGAGTCAAATGTATTATGACAAAGTGGAAAATATCTGGTATATAACCTAGTTCTTACACAGGGTGAAGTTATGTGGATGTGTGTTTTAGGGGCATATTTCCATCAGAAAAGTAATGGGAAATGCATACATTAAGGCTCCAACTTTGGGTCTGTTTACGTTTGAAGTTTTCATTTCAAAAATCATTTGAAGATCAGAGCTGAGCAAGACAGAAGAATTACCTCTTTAAAATCAGGTAATTCTGTGTGTGTGGGGGGGGCCTGCACTTAGGGATTCTGCTTTCTTATTTTGCAAATTCAAATGTCCCATTTTACTCTGTATGAACTATCCTTGCCTTTTATGCCAATCATGTGTGAAAAAATCAGCCAGCCACTTTAATTTTGCAGTTATTGACTAGTGTGGTGGGTTGCCAATGGGTGGTCAGCTTGTCACACCCATCTCAACTAAGCTAGCATAGTGCTGGGCATGGGAGGCCCACCTAAGCATTGTTGCAGCACAAGAGGCAGAACTGGAGAAGAAGAAGAGAAGCTATCAGCGAAGCTGTTTGCAGAAGCTGGGGAGCTGGTGGAAGCCACTGGTTCTCATAGGGTGTTCTGCTTGAGGCCCTTGTCATGCTTGCTTTCTTGATAAGCTTGGTTGTCATTGTTGGCTCAGACTCAGACCCTTGTTGCTGCTGAGAATGGCTACAGTTCATTTTGGGGGAGTTTCGGTACTCTCTTTGAACATCTCCTCCTGGTGCTAGAGGAGGAGGTATAGTGCTCAGCCTCCTGGAAAAGCTTGTCATGTTGGCTTTTCTGGTGGGAACTTAACTTCCCTCCTTGCTGGAGGAACTCGGGATCTCATTGTTGCTGAGGATGGCTGTGGTACTTTTCAGGGGAGCTCTGCTTCTTACTTTGAACGTTGCTTCCTGGCTCCAGTTCTGGTCCCTCAGCCTGCTAGCACTGATCCTTCATCCTGCTGTCAGACTCTGTAGCTTCCACCACTGACCTTTGGGCTTTCCCAGTGCAGATCCATGTAGCGGGCCTGCACACGATATTGTTGTGGGCTCTAGGCCTCCAGTTAGACTTGTGGGAAGCACTGTTATGAGCTCTACGTTTTCAGCTGAACTCATGCAGGATATTAGGATCCAGGCCCTCAGCTGTATTTTTTGGTCGTTAGTGTATGGAGAGATTTTCTGCACTCTTGGTATATGATTCTTTGGGTGACTCATTATGGAACCGTCTTATAAAATATGTTCCTGCATTGTATTGCTCCCTTGCAAAACCCCACATTACGACATCTAGTTACATTAAGTGCTACTCACTCAATGGGCAATATCTAAATAAACTCTGAGAACATTTGGAATTTAGCTCATTTTTCATGGATATTTTTTAATCTTTTATTAATCTACTTAAGAAATTTTCCAGTAAAAGTTCATTACTGTTCAATAGGTTACACTGCTTGATTTTATAACTGAGGTGTGCAGCCATCCTACTCCGGCATAAAGTACTTTTGGTGCTCAATATGACCCCAAAGTGCATGTATTTATAGGAGCCGCAAACCAGCACCCCAGTGATCATTCAGTAGGTTCCTGGAGTAGGCAAAGGGCATAACAGGATTGAAGCAGATCCTGCCTCCCCTCGGCAGCCAGAGGGAAGAGCTGATAACTAGGCCTGTGACACTTCTCCCCCTGCCAAGACGAGGCATTCCGCTAAGTCCAGGTCAGTCATAGCTGATAACATCCTGCAGGTGTCCTACTTGTGGTCTTTCTCACAGTCTACTGGGTGGGTGGAATATCTCAGGATTTCATGGTGCCAGAAACAAAGTGAAAGGTCTTTGGATCCTGTCCTCTCTTTCCAACACCATACAGTCTTTCTTGAGTTTCCAGCTTTTGTCTTTTATTCTTTTATTCTCCCTAACAATTCCCAATAAGGATTTCTACAAGGAAATTTTTTATAGAGATTTTTAGACAAGAGCCTAAGCAGCCAAAAAGATTTATCTTCTGTAGAGTAGGTTTCAGTGTTAGAAAGATGGTGCCAGATCTTGTGAGAAAATTTCACTGAGGATAAGTAATATCTGTGCCTAAGGATTAGTCAGTTAGGCATTCCGGCTATCAGCCACCTTGATAACTACAGCCAAAAAGAAAAAGACAAGAAGTGGGAACAGGTTAGATTTTTATAACAAAAAAAAGTGTTTGACACCTTGCAGCATTCAAAGAAAGAATACAGAGAACAATGATACTTAACTGAAGAGTTGGCATAACACAATACAAAGAAAATTACCAAAATAAGTAAATTATCATAACTTGCTACAAATGCCCCTTCAGTTTATTGTAATCCATTACAGTCAGTCCCATTCCAATAATAATAATTATTTTTTTGTAGTGGACTCAAACTCAGGACCTTGCGCTATGTTGCTGAGCTATATACCCAGCCACAAATAATTATTTAATTGAATGTTCTCCTTACAAAATTCTTGAGATTTAATATCATTCTAAAGATTAGCATAACAAAATAGTTTGATCCAACATGAGAAAATCACTACCAGTAGCTATTGGAAATATTGTGCTAGAACTGGCATTTGACACCTGTCTTTTTTCCCTTGTGGTAGTGCTCTTTCTATTATGCCACACTAGAAATGATGCAGTACTATTCAGCAGCCTAATATGACACTTAGTGTTACTCCCTGAGTCTTCCTCTATACGTGTATGTACACATGAAAATGTGATATGGCCTATCATGTTATTGTCTGCACAACGTAACGGATGTGTCACAGGCTCTGGGACAGATGGATTGACCTTACTCCTGCTCCAGGTTCCCTTGCTCGGAATGAATGGTTAGGAGCTCTAAGTCACGTGCGTTCTCCCAAACCAAAGCGTTGCTGATGTCATGGACTGCGTAGCTCTTTGCTGTGGGGACCTGCCATGCTTCTACAGCAGTCTCAGCGGCATCTCTGGTGTTAATCGGCTAGACACCCACACCTAGCGCTACCTAGTGGGAAGATCCAAAATGTCTCCAGAGTTGTTGCCAACTATCTGCAGAGCAAAACTGGCCCACCAGAGAACCACTGTTCAAAACTCATGGGAGAAACTATCAAAAAATGTAACCGTTCAGTCAGTTTTTTCTCTGCATATTAGGAATTATAAGCTATGTATTGCTTAGACATTGTATTAGTCAGAATGAGGCAGATTCATGGTGTGATAACAGTGCCCAAACTGCCTTCCATGACAAGCTGTTCTTCAGTACAGCTGCTGTCCCTAAGGCAGTGTGCCATTTTGGGTGGCTTCAGTCAGTTTTCTAGATGCTCAGCACCCACGGGTGCCTTTGCTGTCATCACATCAGGGTAAGAGCATCGAGAGTCGTGCATGCAGTATTAAATACCCTTCCCAGGAGTGGCACGTGCTACCTCAGCTCACACGTTAGCGAGCAAAGCGTGGTTGACTGGCCACGTCTACCTGAAGCAGAGAGGATGTTTAGTTCTCCTTTCCTGGAAAGGGGAACTGGGGTACGAGTCAGTGATGTGTACCAGAGTTATCTAATACTCTTGTCTGGATGCCCTATAATGACCCGAATTAAACATGCTAGGGGGCATGAGTCAAGTGACCTTTCAAATGTAGTATTTAGCCATTGGTTCTGGAGCGAGTACATACATGTGACATAGTAAGTGAAACAGGTGACACATGTTACTTGCAATAAATTATAATAATATGCTTCAAATTTAAATAGTGCAAAGTATTTACATGTTTGTGATTTTACATGCCTTTGTCTTTCATTTAAAGGGTGTCATATCTACCTAGATTTTGTGTGTTTTTAAATATCCTCCATTAAAATTTCTTTGATCTTTTTGGTTAAGTGTATTCCTATGTGCTTTAGAGTTTATTGGTATTTTTGAATAGGATTTCCCCCTACTCCATTTCTTCCTGATGACTACTACTAGTAAAATAAAATACTGATGTTTGCATATTTCTCCCCATGTAGGTGTCTTGATTGGACTAATTTAAGTATTTCACATAACTTGAGTACTGTACTCAGATTGCTTAGTGAAGTAGTTCTCATGCCCCAGGTCCTGAGCCAGTGCTGGGTCTCCTGAGGCCTTGTTAGAAATCTTGGTACTTGAACTCAACTGAGACCTACTGAGCCAGGGATGCTGCATGTGGGGCTCTGTGTTAGGAATGCTGGGTATAAAATCATTCTTGAAAGAGTGATGACATTTTTTTTTTCTTACTGGTGGTAGCATTACCATTCCTCTTCTTACCTAGCATCAGATGAAACATAAAGAACAATATTAGGTGCAAAAGGAATTAATCTTGATTTGGATCTTATGTAAGATAAGTTTTTTTTGTTTTTTTTTTTTTTTAGTTTCTGTTCTGGAATATTTGAAAGTCCTTATACTATTTGAAGTTTTTATATGTAGAGTTTTAAGTAAGAATAACTGCTGTATTTAGCAAATGTCCTTCAGAATTTATTGAGATAATTATAGGAGCTTTCACTTGTAATTTGCTAGCATTTGAAATGTGTTCATAGGTTTTGTGCATTTTATGACCTCATGGAATAAATACAACTTGGTGAACTTACTACAATATGCTGCCAGATTGGATTTGCTGGTTGGATGCCTAGTGTTTCCTGGCTTCCTAGCTAATTGGATTATTTGTTTTCCCCAAGCCAGTAATACCAATGTTCTTTACTTCAATAATAGTAAAGGACCTTATATCCCTAAAAGCCAGCTTTTCTTGTGCTGGATTGACATGCTAATTGTATTTTAATACTGTATGCGTTATGCAGTTCCTTAGACTTCAAATCTGAACAACAATCCTAACTCACCCCCTCTGTTCTCATTAGAATTCTACCTAATATCTGGCTGGGCAGCTGCCCTCGCCAACTGGAACACGTAACCATCAAACTGAAGCACGAACTGGGGATTACAGCGGTCATGAATTTCCAGACCGAAGGGGATATCGTCCAGAATTCTTCAGGCTGTAACCGCTACGCTGAACCCATGACGCCAGACACTATGATCAGACTGTATAAAGAGGAAGGCTTGGTCTATATCTGGATGCCCACTCCAGACATGAGCACAGAAGGTAAGATCGGAAGTGACACTGTGGCCCTGACGAATGTTTCAGAGAAACATTGCTGCCTATCTCTCTATAATTGAATGTTTTAAGTACAAGTGGGGGAAACAGAATTAATGTATGGTGTTGGGCTTAATGGATTTAATAATATAGGTCTTATGAGCTCAGATTTTGTTTAATATGATTAATTTGTTTATCAAATGTACATTGATTGTGTATGTGGCGCTATACTGGTGGCTGGTGACACAATAGTAAAGACGGACAATACAACTATCCTCATGAAGCTTACGGTCCTGAAGGGATAGAGAACATTAATAAAATATGTAAATAGAAATTTAAGCCCATGATGAGTTTTTTGTTAGATGCAGAAATACTGCTAGGAGAGCATGGGCAGATAATCCAGGAAGGTTTTCCCAGGAAGTAATGTTTGCACTACTGTCTGAGTGTGCACTGGGCGAGGTAGGAGACCTCTCCCAAGCAGGAGCAGCTTAGCAGACTCCTGGGGAAGGAGAGGTGTGGGGTGCTGCAGGAACTTGAAGACGCAGTGGGCGCAGCTCCGAGAAGCAGCGCGGAGCTCAGGGAAGAGCACTCCCAGGATTTGTGCTGCAGTTAGGCCTCCACGCAGTCCGCAGGCAATGATGGTCTGCCCAGATGCGACTTTTGTGTCCCGCAGCACTTGGATTGCAGTGTAAAGAATGAATAGGAGATGGTCTACGGGCGTAGCGTGGGGTCCTCTGTGGAAGCGAGTGCCCCAGCGAGTGCAGGAACCCATGCAGGAGGTGGCACAGAAATAGCAGCTTGGCTTGGGAGTGCCAGGGACGTGCAAGTCCTCCCCATCGAGCAGGAGTTTGTGGAAAGGGAATCGTGTGAGCTGGTGCTACTAAGAAAGCAGAGGCATGACATGGCTTTGAGCTAATGGCAAGAGGCAGCAAGACCACTTCAAAGTAATTGCAGTAATTACATTGCGCAGAGGAGTGGATGCGAGGGGCACATGTCTGGGGGGGGGGGTCGTGGCTTAGGAAGGAGCCCAGGAAGGCTGCGGGAATGCTGTGGCTTTGACAGAGAGACGTGGAGGGAGGAAAGGCATAGTAGGGGGAAGACACATAACAGACCACGGCACAGAGGCATGGGATTTAAGGGGAAGGATCTGTATCTCAGGTTGCCTGTTTGGAATAGTGTAACATCCTGATAGGCTGTTGAAAGGAATGTAGGTAATAATGTTCTACAGCTGAGAAAACCACGTTGTACTAACAGTCTATCAACAGGGTGCAGCAGAGAGCCGTGAAACGCACACAGGCTATGGGCGTTTAGAAACTTGCTGTTCTGGAGGAAATAAGGAAGGCTCGCTTAGCCATGGCACCCGAGTATCAGCACTCCTGTCCATAATGTATATTATGCATCAGACACTCCTAAGCAATTTAAGTGCATTAACTCATTTAATTCTCCCAGAAAGACCGGGCAGTTACTGTAGTTAGCTCTGGTTTGCGGAGTAAGAAACTGAGATACAAGATGTTAAGTAACCCGATCGGGTCATAGAACTAGAAGGAACAGCCTGGGTCGCAGGGCTGGCAGCCTGACCCGCAACACTGCTTCCCAAGCCAGATGATGAAGCTGCTGTCTGCAATCTCACGCCCACTCTTCGTGCAGATTCTGTAGTCTGACGTGATTTCAGTCCTTCGGGTTGACGATCAGCTGGGGCTATTCAGAGCCATGAGTTGTAGGGACGAGAGTGAATCTCCCTCACAGCCAGTGGTCCACAAGAGAACTTAGGGGCCATCGGGAACATTTCGGGTCACTCTGGTCCTTTGCATTGACCTCCTGGTCATCTAGGCCCCTCCCCCTCTGTACATCTGTCTGAACTGTCTCTGAGGTTGGGGTCTAACTTTTTATTAGTGAAGTTAGGGGGAGTTATTGACAGTTTGGTTATTACTCTTGGTACTTTGGTCCAAGAAAGCCTCATTTATGCTTAAGAGCACTGTCCTTTTTCAAAAATTAAAAAAAAAAAAAATCAAAAGCAGCAACAGAAGCTCCGGACTTTATTTGCACAGAAGAGCATTGGCTAAATACTTAACCTGCTGTTTGTTTCTCTGGTTTCAAGCCAGAGAGAATTATTAGGTGAGCATGGCCGAGTTTTCCTGGAAGCCTGTTGATTTTAGCTGCTTTGATTCTGCTTTGGTAGCTTGTACCCATTGGAGTCACATCGGAGACAGGCTGGGAGAATCCCATCTCATGCACTGAGTACCTGAAGCCTTGCTAATAAGTAATTTGCTTGATAGTTTAGCAGTCTATAAATGCCCAAGAGAAAGGATCCCCAGGAGCCCATTATAGTTGCTCTCCAAGCTCTTTTTCTAATTAATTAATAATTTGGTACAGGGTTTCGCTGTGCAGCTCAGGCTCATAGTGATCCTCCTGTCTCAGCCTCCCCAAGTGCTGGGATTACAGATGAGTGCCGCCATATCTGGTTTCGATGGTCAGTACAGCATGTGGTACCAGAGGTTGAACCCGGGTCCTTGCACTGCCAGGCAGGTGCGTAGACCACTGATATCTCTCTCCAACCCTCCCCCCCCCCCTTTTTTTGGTACTGGGGATTGAACTCAGGCCCTTGTGCTTGCCAGGCAGTCACTTATGCCACTGATCTACCACCCTGGCACTCCAAGCTCTTTTGGGTTCACCTAACAGTGCAGCAGTGGCTGAGGCAGTACTGCAGCCTGGATGACTGCAAAATGACAGCTCCCACTTGAGACAGAGAAACCATAAGACTAAGATAAAGGATTCTTTTGGTTCAGCCTAATGTGGAGGAGTATTCAGTTAACCATTCCTGAGTGACAGGTGAACTTTTTACCAGTAGATAAATCTGTGTGGTTCACAGTGATAGCATAGTGAGTATGTAGATTAACCTAGCTGAATATTTTTGGAATTCTAGAAGAAAAAATCCATTTGGAAATATGTTGAGCCACAGCATGATGCTGTCAGATAAAATCTGAGAAAGGAGATAGTCTTTTTGGTGTGACTGCCACCGCTGTTTGTCACAGACCTGTTACAATCAACTGTGCTATCGATTCTTACTCTTGTACATTTTGTCACCTACAGAGAGGTGGTTTAGATTTTTAATATTTTTCTTTCTTTTCTTTAAAGTTTGGTTTGTCTCTTCCCCCGAGAAATGAAAGTCTCCCAAATCTAGCACTCACTTGAGCAAAATGAACCAAATGTGTTCATACAAGTCTCCCTCCCATGGAAAGGGTTCAGGCTGAGCTTGGCCCTCTGATCAGGCAGTGCCACATACGGCAGATGGTCTACCCTTGGCTCCCCCTGAGCGCGCGCCCCTCTTGGAGGCCTTAGCCCCCCTCTGTTGTCACAGTCTCAGTTCTCTTCAGTTACTCAGTGGACTGAATTAAGCATTTTCACTGTTAAAGATCCCCATCTTGGAGACCAAATATCTAAGATTGAGGCTTGTCATTACTGAAGGACATGTGACATTGGCACGCTAGTACCTGCATCGGAAATACGGGGATAGTAATTTTATTTTACTGGTTTATAACAATAGAACGAGACACTTGATATGAAAAGACTGAAAAATTACAAAGTTGGTGCTAGAAGATTAGTCCCAAGTTTTTGAGTCTATCTAATGATTTTGTAGGTAAAATGAACCTTCTCTGTAGTATGCTCCAAAGATGGAAAAGAATATATACCAAAATAAAACACATTCTGTCCCTAGAGTAAGACAAAAGGTAGGGTGGGGTGGAAAGGCTGAAAGTCGTGCCATGAATCTTTTTTTCCATTGTCATCCTCGGATACCTGTAAGGACTTGGGACTTCTCCCCTGCCTCAGGCCCTAAGGCCTCAGCTTGCTCCAAATTACCTGCCAAAATGCTTTATTGCGTCTTCTCACGACCTTGACATGATTGTGCATACTTTCAGGGTGCTTCTCATCATTCCAGAGCTGGATCCATCTGGAGCAAGTGTGGACCACAAGTTGGGGGGGGGAGTAGTGTCTCAGGCCCAGTGTGGGGTATTGTTCTGCGATTGTTTTGGTTTTATCTATGCACATAATGGTTGCTTATTGAGCATCTACCGAGATCCAAGGCTTGTTTTAAATTCCAAAGTGAGAAACACAGATGGTAGAATGTTTTGTTTGACCTACATAGGTTTTAGTTTTTTAATGTAGTTGCCAGGATTTAAAATGTAGACTATTTTGCATAAAAAGATCTGGATTTTAGCTATATCTTAAGGTATTGTTGGTTTTAAGAGTAGAAACCTCATATCAGTTAAAGTTACGTGTGGTACCTAGATATAGCAAACTTAGAATTTAGCTGCTCTGGTTGAAATCCACCCTACCAGCAAGGTATTTCATGGTGAGCCCTGACTGGGGCCTTCCTCTTGTTCCCTGGTGGGTTATATATTAGCTCAAGCTCCATACATGGGTTCAAAAGCCAGATATGGGCCTCTTGGGTGCAGAGAGCTCTTTTAATATAAGGGAAGAGGTGCTGTAGCTCAGGGAGGATGTGACTGTCACCCAGGAGTAGGAACAGCAGCTTGAGCAGGTAAGTAGGCACAGGGGGACGGATGCCAAGTTCAGACCAACAAACCGGAGCATGGAAAGATCCAGCAACCAGAGAGGTCAGGGAAGGACCACAGTACAGTGGTCAAATCAGAGGTGTCGCATGACAGCGGCTGAGTTTCAGTGGATTCTCAGGGAATGACTGTGGGCAACCCTGTTTGCCTCACTTCACATAAAAATTGAGGACAAACATAGTACTGATCTCAGAGTTGCTAAAGAGTGAATACAAATGAGCCTTTTCATGCAGAATGCTTAGAACAGCAAGTGGAATGTTATTTGGAATGTTTATTCTCGGTGAATGTTACTTGTCATCAGTCAAGGCAGGATGCAGCCACTAGAGGTCAAAATAAACAAGGGTCCAGCTGAGGCCAGGCTGGTATGAGTAGACGCCCAGTGGCAGCTTCTGTTTTTCTCTCTCTCCTCATTATTTATTTTTTATGCAGCTTAAGTATTTAATGATCCTCAGGTGGGATGGTTGAGTGGCTCTGGGCAAAGGTCGCTGGTGGCTGGAGCATGAAGCCAGAGCCTGTGTGTGAGGTCCTGCCTTTTGGAAGAACACATCTGCAATCAGGGCATCTCAGGTCACACATTTCCCTTTTTAACTTGCGAAGCATAAGCATGACTCTTATGTAACCTGTTACAGATAAGAAGAGAGAGGAAGGGAAGGCAGTGGGTCATTTGGGCTGTCTAGCGCAGACCTGTCCTCAGGGACCTTCTGCCTGGAGAGCCCTGGAGAAGAGCTCCTGCTGGGTCCGTTGAAGGTGCTGCGTACGGCGAGCACCAGCAGTGGGATTCTGCGTCCTGCAGCTCCTACTGCCAGTGGCCACCATGTCTTATTCTTAGCATGGGCATTTGATGAAAGCCTACATTAAGAACATTCTTATTTACTTCCTGCCAATGTACCTGGTATCTGGAGAGGCAGCCTTGGCAGGCAGCTTGTCAGCGATGCTAGTGATGGCAGAGCAGGATAAAGCCATGTATCACAGGGCTGTCAGTGGGATTCTCTTCCCACCCAGAGTCTCTGGAGCACAGCTGTCACACTGATGTGTAGGCGGAGGCCCTACGATCGAACAGGCGGCACCTGTCTCTGTAGACCAGCCACATGTACCTTTGGAGCTTTTGCCTCCTCTGGCCCCCTGATGCAAATTTGGATCCAATAGGAAGTGCTGCCCTAGACTGTTGCGAGGCTCCTCACCAGCCCATCTGACGCGCTCTGTACCCTGTTGCATCTGCAGGGTATCTCGTGCCTTAGGAGGGCACTGTGAGCAAGGCCAGCTCACCCAGCTGTAACCTCAGAACACCCAGACATACACACTTAGATGAATTAAAATTCATGGCTCAGTTTGGACATGAGACATCAGGATACACATGGGAGCTGATGTGTCCCTAAATTAGATGTCCTCAGGACCAGGCAGAGAGCATGGCAGTAAGGCAGCAGGCACCAGGGAGACAGTAACAGAAGTAACAGTAACAGAAGCATGAGGAGTGTGTTCTACTTAAATGTATTTGTGTAGAAAGACATTCCTAAACTGCCGGGTGGCACCTGTAGCTTAGATGTCTTCATGAGAGGGACGCACAGAGCGTAAGCAGGAAGACTGGAGTGCTACGCTCGTGTCCTTGCAGCCTCTCTGCACCTGCCTCAGAGCACTGTGAGTGCAAAGCCAGGTAGATGGTGACTGAGGTGGGTTCCTTGGTAAACTCTACCTTCCATGGCTCGATACCTGATTCTAGTGCATTGTCTTGGCTCTTTGGGGACACTTGCATTTTAACAGGGAGCAGTGAAAGAAGGGAGGTATAGCTACTAGAATGGCTCCCCTGAGAGAATTCCAGGTCTCCTGAAGGTCTGTGGGTGAGCTCCTTCATCATCCAAAGGGACGGCACAGAAAACCACAGTTGCTGGAAGGTATTTCTCTGCCATTGGCCCCTCTGTGGAGGACAGAGACTATCTAGGGAATGCCAAGGCATACGTATGTAGTTCTAATCCAGGCTTTGGATAGTTTTCCTTTCATTCTCTTCAGAAGTTATTTAGAATGATCATCTCCGCCCTCCAACCAACCAAATAATCTTAGCTCACTATCTTTACAGTGAGGCTCGGGGGCCAAACAAGCACTGATCATCCTGTAGCGCAAGGATGACTGTGGCTTGTCCCTCCCAGGCTTGCCAGGGCATAGCATGTCCCCTCTAGGAGAAGTCGTCTGGATAATCTTATAATTAAGCTAGCAGTCAGAAACTGGTGATAACTGTGGTCTCAGTTGCCTACGAAGATGGAAATTTAACCACTTTCAGGGCTCACTGTGGTGGGGTGGGAGAAACGAGGGGTCAGTACCCCACATGCATCAGTGCTAAGCTAGCCATTCTGGTAGGCAAATAAAAATTAATGTGTTATATTTTGCTCCATATTGCATTGATCCAATCAATGAAAAAAATCGATGCTTCAATCAGTATGGACTTGCTTGTTGTTTGAATGTCTGGATAAAATGCAACTCAGGTGACAGGATTTAACTGGTTTCCTTTGACATCGTTTGAGGTCTTGGCCCTATCCCTGGGAACCCTTCTGCCAGGCGTAAAAGCCCGTTCTGTGACAATAGGGGACACCTGACTTTTCCTTGGAAGGAGCTCTGCATCCATGGTGAAGCGACCGCAAAGAGCGCTGGTATCAGTGAGCCTGCAGGGAGGCCACTAGAAAGCTCTTTCCACTTGATCATTACTGAGTTTGAAACCTGCCTCACTCTTCCTTTAAACAAAGCAGTTAAGCGCTCTGGCATCTCTGCCTCAGCGTGGGCGAAGTGTCACGATGGACGGGGACACGGAGGTGGCGTTATTCACGTCTGCGCTCTGTGTGTTGTGCTCTGTCCCTCCCAGGCCGTGTGCAGATGCTGCCTCAAGCCGTGTGCCTCCTGCACGCCCTGCTCGAGCAAGGCCACACCGTGTACGTCCACTGCAACGCTGGCGTGGGCCGCTCCACCGCGGCCGTGTGCGGCTGGCTGCAGTACGTGGCGGGATGGAGCCCGAGGAAGGTGCAGTATTTCCTCATGGCCAAGAGGCCGGTCGTGTACATCGATGAAGAGGCCCTAGCTCGGGCGCAAGAAGACTTCTACCAGAAGTTTGGGAAGCTGCGTTCTTCCATACACAATCTGTAGCAGGCTATGCCACCTCCCCTTCCTCCCAGTTTCTTAAGGAGTCTGAGGTAATGTTAGGGAAATGACCCAGAAACAGAGATCTTACCTGACCAGGAAGGACTGTGGGCATTCGCGCCTGCTCCAGGCCACCCTGTCACCAGGGGCTGTCTATTATGCCTTTTAGGGGCTGTAGCTTTACAAGGGAAGCTGTGACTGACACCCAGCAAAGGCCAAAAGCAGTGGGGTGGGCGGTGCTGTTCCAGGATTGGAATGCAAGAGTACTGTGCAGTCCCGGATGCTGCGGACGGAGGAGATCTTGTGCAGATGCTGGTTATGTGGTTTTCATCACTGGTGTGTATGCACACACACACACACACACACACACACACACAGCTTTTTGTTGAACTGAACTGAAATACGGTCATTTGCCAAAGGAGGAAACAAAGGGGGAAGCCTAGATCAGGCTGGAAGATGAGCTCACAGGGGCCTTTTAGGGGTTTTCTTGGTTTTGTTTATTTATTTATTTTAAAGAGAATGAAGAATTAGTAAAAAAAGAAAGAAATGAAACAAAATTTCACTCAACAAAATTATATGAATTCAACAATGGTTGTTATATTGTCTTCAGATGAGCTGCTCAGATTATCAGATTATAAGCATGCAAAATTGGTAAAACAAATTATAAAAACTTAAAAAGGAGAGAAAGAAAAAATTAAGCATTAACTGCTCCTTTCAACAGACCAGCAGAAATCAGCAGTGCAGTTACCCAAGGTGTCCTGTGTGTATACACATACGTTTCTCTTTCCCTTCCTTCTTGCTTTTCTCCTTTGCATTCCATTTCATAGTTGTTAGTGTCTACTCCTAGGCAGCACCTGCCTTATCTACCCAACAGCCCCAGGTAACAAAGTAAGCTCTCTTTTCATGTTAATTGAGGCTTAATGAGCATAGGTTGCTTGCCCTAAGTCTCAGGGCTACTCAGAGCTGAGCTGGAGTTGTAAGTCGTGTTTATTCGACTCAGTGCTGTTTTTAGCACAGCTTGTTTTGCAGCTTACAGTAGTGAACTCAGTTTTGCCCTCTCAGGATAAGATCGACTCCTGCAGCAGTGAGAAATGGAACAGTGTTCTGATAACTTGCTACAGAATTTAGAGCAGGAATTTTTTTTTGTGCAAATTAATTTAAACTGTGATGAGTTATCTCAAGGCCAAAGTGGTGTGAGAGGAGGGATATTTTTAAGAGAGCCAGAATCTGCAGGTCATTGTTCCATGACTTCAGTCTGATCCTGCTTAGTCCTCAGTTTAGCACAACACAGTCACTGCGCCCTCAGAATACGCAACTCATTCCCCTATATGTTACAGGGGGATGCACAGAGGAGCAAGACTTTGCCTCTAAAAATATGCAGTCCAGAAACAGAGCAGCTGTAGTGTAGGACTGAACTGAGTGACATGTTAGAGTACAGGGTGGGAAAGTATGTTTTAATTGAATGCCTCTACTGAAGCGTTATGAGGCGCTTTACCATTTTACCTGATTGCATCTTCATAATACCTTACAGGAGAGGTTTTGTTACTCCATTATACAGATGAGGACGCGAAGGATCAGAGAGGTTGAATCAGCTGTCCCTTGTTGCCACATATTGAATAAGTAAGATAAGATACAAAGCTGGTTTGTCTCACAGCCAACACTTTTCAAAATTAAACGCTAGTGCTTATTAATTTACCTGTTATTTTACAAATATATATTGATAGGTATAAAAGTCTTTGATTTAGGAGGGATGGGAGTAAGAAGGACACAAGGCAAGTTCCATTCAAGCTCAGAGTTTTGTAAAGATGGTGCTTGGGAAATGACATTTGCTTGAGACACAGGAGGCTAGATGGGAAGCATTTCTCCTATGGTTTCACAATGTTAAGATTATAAACTCGTATTGAGTTTTGGGAAGTCCAGCTCTTTCTAAAAATAATGAGAAATAGCTATTATTTTCAAGAACCCCTTTATGATCATTGTGTCAAGTAAAGATGCAATCTTAAAAATGGGATATACTAAATAATATTTGTAAGAATGTGTGTGTGTGTGTGTGTGTGTGTGTGTGTGTGAAATTCTTCAACTCTAAGCAAAATGCTATATGATTTCTACTCTACAGTAGGACTTTTGGGTAGATTTTCTCCTGTAGTCTTTTTTGCTCAATAAATAAAATCAGTTTAGGACTATTAAGAAATGCCTTACAGTACCCTCAGTTATTTCAAACTCATCTGAAGTTTTTGTGAAATAAAAGCATTTAAAAAATCTTTGTGAATGAATTGTTTTGTTATCATGTAATTCTAAAATCCAGAAGAACATAACTGAATTTTTTATTTGTGAAACAAAGTCAGCTGAGCTAAATATTTTTTGTCACCTTTAGTCTTTCATTCAACTCTAAAAGTTTGCACTTACATGACAAAAGAAGCCAAAAGTGGGAGCACCAAAAAGAAGTGGGGATGAAGACTTGAGGAACGTGAACAAGTCAAATCAGATACGCTGTCATTAGCTGCTTATTATGGGTGTTAACAATACTTTTTTGGGGTGGTCCTGGGGGTTGACCTAAATGTATGTTCTAACACTGAGCTATGAATTAAGCCCAACAGAACTTGTCAATCTCAGATTTCTCAGAGAAAACCAGAAGGTTTGTCTCATGTTCCAGACGTATCCAAACTGCATTCTGTTATGGCTATACCAGCCATCACAGGTGGGGCTTTGGGGAGGTGGCTGGATGTGGGGTATGTGATGCAGGGATTAATCGTGTGATGCTGGGTTTGGTTCATGGTACAATGCTAGGATTAAGGCAGCCCCACCTGGGTGTGAGTGCTTCCTGCCTTATCGGTAGGTAGACTGTTTGTTACTTTTACTGTCTTCTGTTTGTCATGAAGTGTTTCTCCTCTACCATGTGCTGCTGCCACACCATCTGCCTTGGAGCTAGCACATTATGGACTGAAACTTCTACAACTGTCTTCCCTTAACTTTGGGTGTTGGGTACTTTTCCATCAATGAAAAAAGTAAGACATTTCCCTTTATACTTCAATCTTTATCCTTCTTTTATTCTGTTCCATAGGTAGGGAAAAAATATAAAAACTCCTTTCTATTGACCACCATTAATGTTGTAGTTGAAAACCATTTGACTTGGCTAAGAAATGACAATGAAAAAGAATAGTTAGGACTTGGGAAATGATAAGAGGTAATAGGATACCTGAAAGTAAGTGAGATAGGAAATGAAAACTCACCACATAAGACAAAAAGAAAAAAAAGTCAACACTGAAAAGCTAAATACAGTCAACAATTAAAGCTGAAACTAGCTTTAAGGTGAATTAGGCTGGGGAGATGGCTCAATAGAATAAGCAGTTCCCTGGCAAGTGCAGAGTCCTGAGTTCAATCCCTGGTACCACAAAAATAAAATAAAGTTAATTAAATGTAACTTTTATCTTACAGAGGAACAAGTAGACCTGCAGACATCAACTGGATTTTTCCATAGCAAAGAGTTGTATCTGAGACTCGGAGGAAAAGGGTGAGGTAGGAACACAGGTCAGGAGATCTGCTGTGGGACTGAGTTGTGAGAGGGAATTAAAGGGAGTGAGACCAGGCAGTACTGTCTGTGGAAGAACTGAGGGAAGGATTATGGAAACTGGATAAATGGAAGAAAAATTAAAATAACCAAAATGAGAAAAAGCAAAGAACAGTGACATATAAAAATATAGGTATTTTCTGGGGAAACTGAGGAAAATGATGTGACAATGGCAGTAGAGGAACAGAGTCAGGGTGCCAGGTCCTTGCTGGAGATGTGTGCCAAGTATGTTTCTACTCCAAGGGATAAGAGTTGATCTTGAGAGAAATCATCGAGGTGTAAAATCCTGAGCAAAGGGAGTGGGGGAAGAGTGCAGCTGCTCATTACTTTCTATGAAAAAATTAGAAAATCTGATAAATATGTGGCAGCACTAGAAACATGGGAAATGTTGGTGAATCTACTTTTCATTATAAAAGTGGCAATAATAGTAACGGGAAGAGGAAGAACAGTAGTACCAACAGCTGCGTGCTTCTCTTCTCTAAGCCATGATTGCAAAGGCTTTCCCAATTCAGCTAAGGGGATGTTCATCTCTTGCTTAAGCACTCCCTCATTCTGTTTTCTGCTGCTATTGTAGAAAGGGTGATTTATAAAGAAAGGGGTTTACTTTGTCTCGCGCTTGGGAGACTTGAAAGTCTAAAAGCATGTGGCAGAGTCTGCTTGGCTTCTGGTGAGGATGTCAAGATGCTTCAACTTATGGCACAGCAGAAGTGTTGGCTGGCATGTACAAAAGAGGAAAAAGGGGAAAACATTCATGTTACCTAAAAAAGGCATGATCCCACCTATGACGGCTCTGTTCCCACGACCCGAGCACCTTCCACTAGAGTCCACCAGCCAATGGCAACACGTTGAGGAATTGAAGACCCAGTACATCAATGGTGGGAAGGATGCACTCAAATCATGGCAGGTTTTAAACCCTAGAGTCATCCTGGGTTTTTCCAAAGTATCACATTTGATGCATCAGGAAAGCCTTCATACCCACAGACTATGCTTTCAGTCTTTTACCATACAAATTTGGTCATAGCCTGTGTGACCCTGACACCAGATTTCAGAAATAAATGCCTACTTAGTATAACGGCTTTTGTTCTTCCCTCTGTCACAACCTCTATCGTTTCAAAGCTACTCTCTCAGTGGCCAGATGGAGCCAGCTCCTTTGATCATGTCACTCTTCTGCTCAAAACCTTCCATGGCTTCCCATGTCCCTCAGCAATAAAAGTTTTCCGAGGTCCTACACAATCTTTTCCTCTTTTATCCCACTGACACGTTTTATGACCTCCCAAGTCATTCACTGTGCTCCAGTAGGGGGGTCTCCTGCTGCCCTTGAATGTTTCAGGCACTCTTCAACCCTGGGACACTGGAGCTTGCTATTGATAGATTGAACATATTCTGTCTCTTAAAGGCTCATGTGATAGAATCATGGTTCGCCATGTGGCACTGTTGAGAGTGGTAGAATGTAGAGGAGATGGCCCTGCTGAAAGATAGTTATGTCACTTCCCTTAGGAAGAATTAGTGTCACTCTTGTGGGATGTTGTTTGGTTTTTATGAGAGTTGTATGCTCTGTGCACTTTGACTCTTTCTCTTGCAACCATTTCCCTTACCTCTTCTGCACCTTGTGACATAGTCATCGTAGCCTCACCAGAAGCCCAACTTAGTACTCTCTCATCTTGGACTCTTAGCCTGCCAAACTGCTGGCTAAATAAAGTACCCAGTCATGGGCATGTTGTTATGATAACAGAAAACAAACTGATACAACGTGGAATGCTCTTTGTTGAGGTTTGCACAAGGTGCACTCCCATTCCTTCCTCAGTGATGCTTTCCAGGGCCACTCTATTAAACATTTCCTGACCCAACTGTGTGTCCTTCTCTGCCCACAATCTCTGCTTTACTTCTTATAGGGATTGTTACTGGCTAATATATTTCCCAATTTGCTTATTTATTGCCTGCATCCTCTCACGACAGCATAAACTTCAGAGAGTCAGAAGTTT